CACCCCACCCCGGACTCCCCCCCCCTCCCGCAGCCGGCAGCCAGTGCCCGGTCCCCTCCAGCTGCAGCACTCCCGTAGCACGGATTTCACTCCCATTGCAAAGCCGGCCCTGCAGGAATTGGGTAAGTGGAGCTATTGCAACACAGCATTTTTCCATACATTTGCTATATAACTCGGAGGGTTTTAAAGATAGCATCAGTTGGCACACTTAGCACGAAACCACCTAATTACTGACGCCTTGGAAGTGCCAAACTTTTAAAGGGGGGAGGTGAGGTTAAAATCACAGGCGACCAACAAGTGTTACCTGTTTTAAAGTATTCAAAGCACTGTTCTCCATGGGACCCGGGCCGTGGGGAGGGGGCCAGCTCGGTGCGGAGCTAGCTAGGGAAGGAATTTTCGGCTTCTGCCGCTCCAGATCCTTCCCCGCTGACCCCCCTCCTTCCCACCAAAGTGCCCAAACTCCTGTTTGCCCCGCACATCTCCCATCCCGCTTCTCCTGGGTTGCGGGATGGGGTTTGTGGCCGGTTTCTCCCCCCCCCCGCTCTCCAGGGAACGGAGGAGTGTGTGCGTGGGGGTAAAATCTCCAGGTAAGGGCCTGTCTCTGAGCATCCCCGGGGGAGGACGCGGGGACAGGCACGGCACGGGTGGGCTGCCCCCGCTTCTTCCCGGGGGGGGGGCGCCGCCGCCGCCGCCACCTGCCCTCCGCGGGTGGGATGGCATGGCTGGGCGGGTGGGCCGTGACTGCGGAGGGGGGAGACCCCCGCAAGGTGCCCGGTGCGGGATGCCCGGTGCAGGGTGCCCGATTCCCGGTGCGGGATGCCCCGGTGCAGGATACCCGGTGGCCGGTTCCCGGTGCAGGGTGCCCGGTTCCCGGTGCGGGATGCCCCGGTGCAAGGGTGCCCCGGTGCAGGGTGCCCGTTTCCCGGTGCAGGGTGCCCGGTGCCCGGTTCCCGGTGCCCGGTTCCCGGTGCCGCTCTCCCCGTTGCCCGTCCCCGCGCGCGGCCGGCCCCGCTTCCTGCTTTCTAATGTTCCATTGTGCGGAGCTTCCATTGTGACGTCTCGGCCTCGGCTCGGCTTTGTCTGTCCATATATGGGCAGCTACGTCACGGAGCGCTCCCGCCGCCCGGATAAATGGGCTGCGGAGTCCCCGGCGGAGCAGTCGGGCGGCAGCGAGGGAACCTGCGAGCGGAGCCGAGCGCGGGAGGGAGCGGGGACGGGGAC